GTTCATGTCTTTAAAAACCCTCATGTCATTCTTAAAGTTGACAGTTAATTTCTGTTGTCTGATGCACAGAAATAGAGAACTCATACATCAAAGTTTATGTATAAACATAATTTCTAAGCAGATAATAAATACCTAAGACAAGATATCCGTGCTATTTAAATCATATAGAATTTCCTTGTTCGTTTGTTTCTTTAAATACTTCTTACTCACCTATTGCTTAGAAAAATATTTAGAAAAAGAAATACCTGCAATGTCTGATTGTGAATCCATTGTATTATCTTCTATTTCTTTTAGTTAATTAAGCACATACTCTAGCTGTGAGAGTATTCTGTCCAATAATTTTGAGTTCAAACTTTGTTTCCGTAGCTTGTTCCCTAGCGCGCTTGTGATACATTGTAATATTGTGTAGTCTGATATTTAAAAGAGAAGTATTTGCTAATCTTTTGCTTTGGATGATGCTGTTTTTTAAAAAAGCTTATGAGTGGGTGTATCATAGAGGAGGGGGAGAGAGAGAAGGAAAGAGAGTGGGAGAGCGAAATGTTATGGTAGATGACATACCACTGACACATTTTCTTTTTTGTTTATACAGGCTCTTTGTGTGTGTGTGGACTGTTTGTTATTGCTCTGATGAGTCTAACTTTCTTTAAACTTAGTGAAGGTTTTGTTTTAAAAATTATTAACCAAAATTTTTTTTTTTCCAAATCTTATTACAATACTAATCAGTGCTAATATCACTTTATCAGTTTTTTACAGGGGTTGTATAGGAAGAGCTTTCAAGAGAAGAATGATTATTATACCTTAAAGTGTAATAAAAAACACATTTATATACTATTTTGACGCAGACTGTTTCATTTTGTTAAGGCAGAATTAATGGGAATACTTTTGTAAGTAAGAATAAGATGTGTTCCTTTATTTAAAAGCTGCTTTGGTTTTCCAGATTGCATAAATTAAAGATCCCACTGAAAAAACAAGACAAGCTTGAAAGAATTTTTCATAAGGTCAGACCTTTGTTATCACAGATAACAGTCGGGTTGCTTTTAAAGTATACCTCAGAACCTAGAGAAAAGAAACAGGCAAAAAAGCAACAATTTGAACTGGATAGATTTAGGATTGGTAGCCTATTGTTTCATAACCTGAAAACCATGTTTGGCAATACAGACTAATATTCTACCCTCGTTACTCCAAAGCTTAGATTATGCTCTTCATACCTTCATTTCGGCAGGAGGAAGTCCTAGAAACATAAATAAAATGCTAGATTACAGTTGGCATTGTGGTTTTGGGATTGGAAATATTGGAGTAGGGACTATTTCTTTTCCGTTACTGCAATGGAGTCTATAAGACAGACGGACAGAGAACAAAGAAAACGGGAGATGAGAGAGAGAGAGAGATTAAGGAAGAAAAAAGAAGTCAGGCTTATCCATTTTATTTTCATGAGGAAAAAATAAAAATGAAGAAAACTTGAGTGAGAGGAAGGAGAAAGCTTTTACCTTCCTATAGTTCAGAGCATGAAAAATACCCAACATTATTAGAAATTAATTCTGATATTATCTTTTGAAGGTCAAGTGAAATTGTGCCTCTTGCTTATAAACTACAAGACAGGAATGTTCGCAGAGCAATTAAAGGCAATGCATGCCACTAAATACAGTAAAAAGCATTTTGAATTAGTTTGGAGAAACCGATTTATGTCTTCATTTTTATTACAACAGTATGTTTTCAAGTGGAGGAGTATTAATCTCTAATATTAATTTTGATTTGAAATGATAAAGAGATCCTATAGTACTGAAGGAAAAAAAAATCAGCCCGTCACTTTCTTTTCAGACTGTGCTTAATCATGTTAGCATGTTTTCAGTGCCATGATAGCATTTTTCTTTTCACGTTCATGAGAAATGATAATCCAAGTAATGTCGCCAAATGCACAGTGAGAAAGTGAAGTTATTTATGTATAACAAAGAGCAGAATTTGGCTCTGTGTCTTGAAATCTGTGTGCCATTAAAACATTTTTTAAAGCCTGTTGGAGCCTTGTATTAGGATTTTGTTGTTGTTTCTGCCTTGTAAAGCCATCCATTGGAATCATTTCATTTCCAGAATTTTCAGATTTGGGTGACAGATTTAGGTTCCTCAGTTCACATTTCAGCAGCTAACTGAACGCTTACCCAGGGCCTGTTCCAGAGCTCACTGAAATCAAATGAAAGGGCCCTTATTGACTTAACTGGGCTTTGGCTCAGTCCCGTGGAAGCTAAAGCACCTGTGGTCTATGGAGCAGAAGAACAACTGAAAAGCTGTTTTGAAGGTTAACTGTTCCCTCATGGTTTAGGTTCAGACATCACATCAGATAGCTTTGCCTTCTTCCACAATACTACTAGTGCAATATGTTAGGGCTTTGGGATCCATATAGACATATCTCACTGTCTTGCCTCTACTGCTTCAGTCTTTGCTAGCAAGGCTATACAGAGAGCCACAGCGTGTTGTGAATGTAAGTGTGGGTGTCCCAGTGTGGCTGCTTCAGTCCAGTGAGCCACAGTGCAGGGCTTGCACAATGTAGATGATCTAATACTAACCTCACTGCACCTCAGGGTGATATTTGCCTCTATGCAGAGGCCCAAGAAAGGGCATATGCATGCATCTTAGTTCCCAAAAGGACTCAAATGTAGTTGAAATGGTGCATAGGTCTGCACAGAGGCACATTTTAGCCAGTCCTAGAAATACGGCTCTTTCATTTAGATGATAATCTTACTGTTGCACTTGAATGTACCTCTGCTCAGCATTTGAGTTTCATGTAATGATAATAGCAAGTCCAACACTCCTGTAGTTTGAAGTATTCATATCTGTAGTTCAAACTTTTTTTTTCTATTTATCATTCAACATGTTAAAAGAAAGTGTACATTAAACGTGGAATCAGTTTTAAGGTCATGGCTCTTAATATAGCTATAAAGATTGCTTTAAAAATCCTACATTTTTATGTATGTAATAACATTTTAGTTGATGATTTTGTATTGGCAATATCATTTTCTGGGTATTTGGTATACTGTACTGGTTTGAATTCTGGTTTATATGGGACTCTGAGTAGCTTTTCATAAAAATGGTAGGATGAAAGAAGGGTGAAAGTTTTAACATTGGCTTTGTATTCGATTATTAGAGCTTGTTAATTAGGTCTGATACATGACATGTCCATTGGATTGCTTAGTGCTGTATTTTGATATTTTTGGCCTTCTCTGCTGGGATTTATTAATCCATTTTATGAGCAAAATGTTAATCACCCTTTCAGCGATGGAATGCAGACTGAATAAAAGCGGAGCTGATAATATGAAAGCTATTGAAAAGGCCACTGGAAGACATTTTTAGAGAATTTCTTCAAAAAATACATCAAAATTTGTCTTCTGGGGAAAATTACTTAGGGTAACATTACTGATAGTATCATTTAAATGCTGAAGAGATGTAGCAGTTGGTATTAAAAACCTATCTTATGGGAGGATCGCATCATGCAGTCATGTATGGGAGGAACTTACTCATGTGAGGTGTTTCAGTGACTTATGGTAACTTCTATATAAATATCTTCAAGTCTGGGTCCATAATTCAATAAGCAACTTCTGTTTGAAAATACTTCGTAAAAAGTTGACCTAAGTTCTGCTACAGCATTGTTCAGTGCTCCTATCTCTTGCAAAGGATCCCAGACTCCAAACAAACTTGTGTGTGTCAGTCTGAAGACACTTTAATTCCATGCATAATTGCTGTTTTGCTTTAAAAGGTGGTGTTTTGTAATCGGATGTATTTAAAAAAAAATAATTCTAATCTACTCTCTTTATATAGCTCTGATTCAAGAGACAACAGTATAACAATGGGTTCTGCAGGCCCTGAAATGTTCTGCAGGGCTGCTGTGGATTTCAAATCTCAGAGAGGAGAGAACGGTGACAACATACTGAATAGTTTCAATAAAATAGCATTTCTTATACCAGTGCCACCAGAAGGGAGGTATAGAGAGGTGTGTGTGGTAAGGCAGGGAGAGAAAATTCTCTTTTCAAGCCTTTAACAATAGAAAGTATGCACTGGAAATGCTTAGGTCACACTACAAATGCTTAAATACAAGCATATGGGCCTGGGAAACAACAATTTTTGTCTATGCGGTGGAAAATCTCATCTTGAAGTCACAGCTGTAGTGGCACAGTGAATCATAGTTTATAAAGTGTGGGTTACTCCCTTTATAAAATGGAATGGAATGAACTGTCCTTCAGACACAAACTTATTTCCATGAGCTATGATTAAACTAACAAAAATATTTCAACTTGTCAAGAAAAATCCAGCTCAATTTAGAAAAAAGAGAAAAAGAGGCATCAGAAAAGTGAAATTTTGCAGAAAGTCAAAATACTTGTAATAACAAAGAAAAATGTAGATAACCATTGTTTTTGTTAATCTTTTTTTCTTTGTTTCAAAACAATAAAATCCACTCCAAAATTTCCCTTGGAATATATGTATTTCTTACCAAAAGAGAATTGCCATCCCCCCAACCCCGCCCCCTGGGTGTTTTTGCATACAATGACTACAGTCCAGAAGCTCTTATGTCCTGTCATAAGTTCAAGACATTCTGAGGAGATATTAAAATTGTCAGAATTTAACCATGTGCCTTTTCGATACATGTTTTAACTTTTTTTTTCTTGCTGGTGAAAAAAATCCACTTTAACAGGGACTACTACAGTTTGCTAGTGATGTAGGTCCTTGTTCTGTAATGCCTCCTCATAGTTTAATTAACAGCGTTAGTGTATCATACTTGAGCTACATTGGAACTTAATTTAATGCCAAATGCTGCCTTTATTTTTATATGTAGTGGGGCAAGAGAAGCCTGTGCAATAACAGAATTTAGTTCTCAAAGCTTTTCTGTACTGCAATAGTGAATTGAGCATTGAATTTTATGGCCAGATTCTGCCTTTTGTGTGCATTCCATGTTGGTGAGGTCCAAGTGAGATGATATCCATGGGCCTTTCATTTTTTTTTTTCCACCACACTACAAAAAAAAGTCAGTGTCACCTGCAGCTGTGACAGCCGTACAGTGCAGCAGCGTATGTGCTGAAAGATTCCAAGAAAAAAAGAGATTGTGCAAGGGGATGCTTTGAGGACCAAATTCTGACCTCCTGCAGTGTTTCTCATGGCCACAAATCCACCTGAACTGGTATGGCTAATTTGAAATGTGGGAGAGGGAGCAAGCTGCAGAGAGACAATGGAAAGACCTTGCACCTGGTTCATGCCAGAGTGCTTCTGTCAGCAGCAATCCTAAGGAGCCTGTTGGTCTGTGGACAGGGCCATTGCCTTTACAGATGCAGATTAGTTTCCATTCCAACTATTAGGTGTCTAAATAGATTTAGACACCTAAATGAGATTGTTTCACCCAGCTAAAGACAAAAGTGGGTGGGTTTCCCAGAATAAGGAAAGATGCATAGCTAGCATATACAAGGGACACTTCATGGAAAAGAGATTGCTTTAGAGAAGCACTCATCTCTTTCTTATCCTTACCATGAAGCTGAACAGAAGTTAAGGCATACACACAATGGCTTAACCACTGCTGGTCTTACTTTGTACCTGATAGGCAGGGGAGTAACTATCACCTGAATCTAGAGACCAAGGGAGCTGCATTGGAGTCTTGTCCTCCATACAGCACAGGCCATTGTTGGGGTCTTCCATAAGTTAGGTTTTCAGTGTATTTTAGTAGTACTTAAAATAACAATTAGAAAGGTGAAGAAATATTGTGTGCATTGAGAGAACTGTAGGATCAAGTTCACAGCTTTTTAGGGTAACAGCAGTATGTTCTCTTACAAAGCTTCTTTACTCTAATTTTGTTGTTGGGGATTAGCCCTTCTGACATGTTTCGAGCCACTTATTTGAAATGTATGGGTTGATGAGCACAAGGGAAATACACTTTAAAGAGGGCAGAAAGCCACTGATATTGAGATATTTTACACTTATCCGTAAAACCAAAGCCCCTGCTCATAAATTTATCAATATTAAGTCTGTAATTGTGGAACTTGAAATGACAGGACAAGTGCCTTAATTTGAAGTTCTAAGGAGTAGAATAGTATTTTTTTAAACAGGTCTTTCAAAAACCTCTTAAATAGTTTATGATGATTAAATCTGGTTATTTATTTTGCATTATGCAGTATATAATATACAGTGAGTGCTCTTTGAGAGCCAGTACCCATTATTGTCATTTCTGTTTGCTGTTTGTATTCCAGAATATAAACTATTGCCACACATGAAGAACAGTAAATAAAGTGTACAGCCATGGATCTCCTTCCCAAATAATCCCTGTGTATTGTGGCAATATGATCGTAGAAGGGTGTGGTGAGCTAACCCCTTTCTTGATCTTCCTTTCCTTTATTTGCCCTGAGCTGGAGATCCAAGGAATATTTTTATGGTTCTTTTATGGATACCACAAAGATATTTCATCTCCAGTATATTGTATTTGCAGGGCTAATTTAGTAAAATGTAAAGAATCTCTAAACCCTTTAGAGCCAGGGCTCTATAGTTTAACAATCCAAACAGTAGTGTACAGATAAAATGAGCCCTCGGGGAATATGGTGTGCAGTCACATACAAAGTATACAGAATAAGAACTGTTTTATTTATGTTTACTCTTCAAATGATACACTTTTGATGAACTACAAACTCTGTTGATTCTTGCAAAAAGAGAATTAGACAGGTGTGGAACAGTTTTAATTTCTGAGCACACAAGATTGTAATGCAGTGGTTCTCAAACTTCTTGGACTCAAGGTCTTTCTTGTTAGTCTCAAGGACCCTTTGCTTTTAGTTTTCACTTATTTTTTACTATGAAAAATAATACAGTAATAGTTCTATTGCAGAGAACTTAGAAAGACTATAATGGGTCAGAATTTTTTTCTTAACACCTTGGGTTCTTACTTGAAATTATTGTGTTTATCTTGTGAATCATGTTTGCACACCTAGCAATGTTAACATTGCATGGCATCCTGGGCCATCCCTTGAGAGGATCTCAAGCCATGGCACCCTGGTGGAGAATCACTGTCCTAAAGTCATCATCAAAATAACTGTTTGCTACTTTATACTATTCTTAGTATCCAATAATTTTTTCCAGGGTATGCTAAAAGAATGAATGAATATATATACATGCATATATACATATACATATTTATACATAGTAATATTATGAATTAAATCATTAGGAAGGTGATGCTTTAGGTGTATTTAAGAAAACAGTGCTGTGGGATAGATAACTGTAATGAAATTGGCATGTAAAAGTCATGTTTACATAGCTATTGAAAAATAGGTTATGGTCTGTATATATGATATGAATACTCAAGTCCTTTTCAATTTGAAATATACAGGGTAGCTGCTTATGATTTACTATCAAGATTTAAGAGAGAAAGTACATACTGCTCTAAGTGCCCATTAAAGTCAATGGAGAGCATTTCAGTTGACTTAATTTAGCTTTGGATCAGGCCTTAATGCAGCAAGAGGTTAGCTTTAAAACCAACTATAATTTGCTGTGTTTGAAGCCTCGCAAACATTATGCTGTGTTGTTCAGATGTAGTGATTGGTTCAGAATCCACATTTTTTTATTTGAAGTGATTTCACATTACAGCATCAACCCCACTATTTACTGTTCCTACGAATTCTTTAATATTCTTTAATTTAAAATAAAATAATTACTTTAAAGATTGCGCGCACACATTTGAATTTAAGATTTTTGACCTAATATACAGTATCTGTTTTCTCATATGGAAGGATAATCCTGTCCCTGTTTGGCGTGGTAGCGTGTTCTAAATTTAGAAACGAAAACACTGGATTATCTTGAGTTGATCATTGTTCTATGTAGGTGCTAGGAAAATTTCTTAAAGAAAAAGGGTTCAGGACTTTTTGTTTTACTTTTGTTTTGGAGATTACTAATGTGCCTCTTGATGAAACTTTTAGATGAAATATATGAAGACATAAGTTGTCTGGGAAAATCATTTTAATTCTGGTTTGCATTTACTAACTAAGCAGACTGGTATTTGATCTTGGAGCCAAGATAAAACCTACAATGAGAACCCAGCAGTACAAACAAACACTTCTTTTGCCTTTTTAAGGGTATGAAATACAAGAAGATTCCAACATGTATGTTGTGGTGTGTAACTGGTTACTGTGATGCGCAACATCAACATTACAATGGAGCATCCTCAAATAAGCATGGCTAATGAGTAAAGGTAACAAGATGTCCACTAAAAACTAAACTCCAAGGTAGCAGGGATGAATTTCCATAAAGCAAATGCTGATACAGGGTAGGACACTGATGCAAAATTGCCTGCTTTTGGACCTCGTTTCATACTTTGCTTTCATTATTAGACATTATGGTAAAGGAGTTCTTAAAATAAGTAGATTTTCTGTACCTATTGTTTTTTGTTTGCTTTACTACTTTTTATTTAAAATGTTCTTTTTAATCAATAATCCCTCAGAAATTGGATTGTAACTTTTTGCCCTGGGCAGTAACAAGCTGACTGAAAGGATTATTTCTATTATGAATTCTCTTCTTTTTTCTTTTCATTTTTTTTATTTTGTAATGGTCTTCATCATATGTGGAGAGAACATAGGCTCAGCTGGAGTATCTGTTTAGGGCAGTTGATGGCTTCAAACTGATTTTCAATCATAAAAGTAAACACAGAGGACTGGGTTCTTTGTATTCTTACTTTCCCTTGGTTCCTGCATCTAAACAACATAAATGGGAAAGAAAGAAGCATTTTAGGGCACAGTCTTTTAGTACTGAGCTTGCAACTTGATTTCAAAAGGGCTGCTTCCAAAACTAAGCACACCTATTGGAAGTTTTTGCAGGATGGAGATTTAATATAACACTTGTACAGGACTTGTGTGGCATTAACAATTTTAGGTCCTTGAACCTTTAAGCACTTACCCATTTTTGTAATTTTACCTCCGTGAGTTGTTCCAGAGTCTCACATGAGTATAGTTATGAACACTAGTAAGTGCTTGCAATAGAGATCCAGATATTCATTTCCAAAGTGCTTAAAATTATAACACCCATTTTTCAAACTTAGATATAGTGCCATAGTCTGTGTAGCTCTATGTATGTGTGCGTGTGTGTGTTTTGTATATTACCCAGGTGTGTACAGATTCACGCATACATAGTTATACAAGGTAAGACTTGTAATTATGCAGCGTAAAACTTGGGAATAAATTTGCAGACATGTAAATGCCTGAGGAATTTTACTCATGTGGGTATTTTTACTTGAATGAATTAAATGAATGGGACTATTTGGAAACATCTTCTGCCAAAGGTTTGCTTTTTAAAAAATCTTTGGATGAACTCATTTTTTGTTCCATGTCTTAAAGCAGTAATGCAGTACTTATTAAGCATGAGCTTTCATACAAGTTTCATCCAAGTTGATGAGGCCCCTGAATAAGTAGATAACACAGTTCTAACGCTTATGAAGTCACTGATTTCAGTGGGACTCGGATAAGGCCCATGTTACAGAGATAGATATTAAAAATAGATTTTTAGGTTCCAGAAATGTACACTTCAGAATTCATAAACATTTCCTCCTGTCAGGGGTTCAGAAAAATACAGTTTCAGTATTGTTTGTCCTGAAATCCTTTCTCTGTCCATGTTTGTATGAATCTTCTGATCAAAACTATACAGTTTTACCCAGGTAAAGATCAAGTAAAGGGTTAAGGTTTCATCATCTTTATTTCTTTATCAAGGTCCCAATCCTGTATGGGGTAGACTTTATTTGAAGCGGTGGCGCCCTTAAAGATGGGGTCTCTCATTTTTATATAAATTCTTGTATAGCATTAAAAAGAGAATATTGAAGATAATAAAAGGAAATAACTTTGTTTTCTAAAGGATGGGAAAAAATCATTTCTGGCACAGAACAGGTTGCTGGAGCATGGGCATTGATAATCATACTTTATGATAAACTACAAATCATAGCCAAGCAAAAATAATGGCAGTAATTAATATGAAATAAAAATAGGATCTTCATAGTAATATCTTTTTTTTTCTCATTGCCTTTATAAAGAAGTTCATATTAACTGGAATTATGTATGTATTATTTAGATTGCAGTAGTGCACAAAATTGACCATGTACTTTCTACCCAAAATGGTACATATGGTCCTTAGTTGGAAGAGGTAACCTAGCTTAAAGAATTGAGCAACTGAAATGTGACTATTTTCATTCTGTTGTTACTTTTGAGAAACTTCTGTAACAAATTATTCACTTAAATTTCACAGATGGTTTGGGGGCTATTTTGGATAGATCTTGGAGTTTAACAGTACTCTTGATGGTTGCTATGGAAACTTTATCATAAATGCAGTTTAAGAATGAGAAATTGTAAATAATTTTTGTATTCCTAAATCGAGTTTCCTGGTAATAAAAGGAGCAATCATGAATTACCAGATTGTTACTATGGCTTTCCCTGAGATTTTAAGTTATTTATCTCCTGAAACAGTGATACACACATGCTCAACTGCATGGCTTGCTAAGAATTAGGAATATGCAAAAAAGTCATAAAAAGTAAAGTGGTAATGTACCCATTTAAAATGCAGTATTTTAATGTATTTAAAGACAGATGAATGTTTGGCTTCAAGGGTGCATATTCATTGTCTCACATGCACTAAAACAAATAGAATTGTACATTTTCTCATCAAAATGATTAAATAATTTTGACTAAAAATAGAGTGATAATATTTTGTATGGAATCACTACTTCCAGTTTTACAGTATTTAATTTATGTTCTTTATCATTGTAATAAAGTAAAGTAATGTTTGTCTAATATTCATTAAATGCTTTTAAAAATATTTTTTGGCTGTGACTCCCAGTAGGGAGCTTGAATACAGATGTCCTCCTTTCTTTTCTAATGAATTTTAATGTCATAAAGGATCAACTTATAGTACAAGAATTTGCTTACTACTAGTCATATATTCTTGACAACTGACAGCATAAATCTGCTATCTTTTTACAGCAGGACTAAAGAGTGTTAATAAAAAGTTCTTAATAGAACAATGCTTTAAATATATTTGTAGAATTATTCAGAATTCAATATTTTTGATAGTTTGGCTAAAATTAATCTAACCTTTCAGCAGTATACAACTGAGTCAGCTATATCAACATGTTAATTCTTAAGGAAAAATAGTGTATATAGGTTAATTGAATTTCTATGCTATTTTCTCTTCTTGATAGTTGAAATTAAATGCTGATTTATAATAAATGTTCTGTTTTCCCAGAAATAAAAAAGTGTCATTGATGGAGCAACACTTTCACTTTAATGAACAAATTATAAGAAGTTACAATAATTTTAATCTCAGTTTTTTTTTACGTCTCCATTTTACTTATTTTGCTTAATTATTTTGCTTTAAGTCATTTCTTAAATATGTAATTATGTGGACATTTGTATGAGTATATAGACAAATGGAGCTATTTTAACACAATATTAAAAACATTTTAAAATCTAAAAGTAAATGCATGCTGAAAGAGTTTTGCTGTAGCACTTTAAAATGCTTTGCCATCTGCAGGCCATATATTTGAGAAAATGCTGTATTACAAGAATTGCAGTCAAAGAGGTTAGAGCTTAAATTTTTGAAATTCAGAATTGATTAGATCTCTTTATTTTACTTTCCTGTTTGTGAATTTGTCAAGTTATTTCCATGGGGATATGAAAAATAGGTTTTGGACAGAGATAATCCACTATAATCCCAAAACAGAAATCAGAGGACAAAATGGTCACAGCAATAAATTATTCTTTCATACATACTTGTTACCTTTATTCCTCCAAAATTTTCCAAATCCCCTACTTAAGGTCACAGGAAATATGAACCTCACAAAAATCTTAAAATAAAGAGGAGGATAATATGTAAAGGTATAGTGGGAGATTACGTTAAATAACATGATTTGATTGTGTTAATTTAGATGTGTGTTTGGAATGTGCTGGTCCTAGTTTCAATAGTAAAATTTATGTACTTTGTAACTTGGACATTGTAAGTGTTCATTAGTTAGATAAATCTTAAAATATGCCTGAGAATTCCAATTTGGGTTGTATTTATTCCATGTCACATGCTTAAGCAGAACATGCAGATGGCCGTAGACCAACTTTTAGAATAATTATAATTCCCCCCCTTTTTTTTTTGCTTAAACTCTCTTCAGGAATAAGTTATTAGTAAAAAGAATTTCTATTTCCTTACCATTGATGTAGAATTAGGAATGAAGTAAAGATCATTTGCTTTGTAGGGTGGGCACACCATCTTCAAACACATGACTGCCATGCATTTATAAGAGAAATCAGTTGCATTTCATAAGGAGACAGTATTATGTACACAATATGTTCAGAGCTCTCGCTCTCAGATGAGCTTTGCTAATCACAGATTTATGAAAAACAATGAAAGGGTTGAGAGTGGAAAGCCTGTAGAGCATGTACCGAAAAAAGTTCCACACTGGTCATAGCAAGATCATTAGTAGTAATGACAGGACACATGCTTTAGAAAGTTTATAACAGAACCTGTTCTTTGTGTTAAAAATATTTGGAGCAGCACATGTATCATTTTTCTTCTGTTGTAGAAATTTAAGGTTAAATTGATTTTCAGTGCAGTTTTTGTCCTGTATTCCTAAGGACTGGCCTTTTAAATAGAGCATACGTTAGGGCATAAGATATTCTTTAACTTACAGGTGTCACTACTGTGACAAAGAACAATACTGCCTATATAAAGTGTTACTGAATATAACAACTCATACTTTGAATTTATTTAAGGCACTGCATATAAGTTTTGAAAGTTTAAACATGATATCCTGGAGATTCAATTTGGCATTATTTGGCTCTATGTAAATATAACTATTGGTCATAAATTAAATATTTGATGATTAAAGCATGCCTCCCATGGATTATATCATTAAAAATGCAAAATATTTCTTTATGTCATGCATAAATTGTAATATTTCTGAAAAAGTTTCAATAGGAATACTTTTATGGCTGTGAAATGAATTTGTGATGAGGTAACCCCATTTGAGGCTAATACAAGAATTATAGCTGCTAACTTAAGGAAAAGTTTTCATGCAAACTGAAAATATTTGTTTTAGAACTAACATGAAAAATTGAAGGTCTTGCTTACTTATTTGATTAAATGCAAAAGTGAGACTGCATATAGGATTTTGTTGTGCTGTGATAGAACTTATTTTACTAGTCACTTTCATAACCTTTAAACAGCCTTAAATAGTACATATGAAAAACACATTCATATCAGGTTTCCCATAGGGAATTTTCTTTGGTTTAAGAAAATTTTATTAAAGATTGGCATTGCAAATAACATTTTTCATAACTATATGTAGACCTGTTAAAATTTTTATTAAAACTGGAGTTTGGCCTGTTCTTTTTCATCATTCTATCAGATATTAAACTCCAGCAGCAGCTGTAGGAAATAGAGAAAGGGATTTTCAAAGGGATTTGAATCTCCCTGTCTCTGTGCCTTTAGTGATCATATTATCATAACTATCACACATAACAAAGCTCTAAATCTGTAATTCAGATAAAGTAGTCAGGACTTTGAAATACAGAAATCCAAACATATGCTGTAACATTTTTTTTGCAATGCCGGTTCCTTTAACATGGATTTTGTAAACTTGGAGAGGCATTCAACAGATTTTGTATACTAACACATGCTAAATGATTTTATTACTTGTACATTTGAGAGAGATTTAATTAAAAGTATGTCTTATTATACCTACAGTAGTTCCACTAAGAGAATACCAGATCCTGTTCTACCAAATGATGATCAAACCAGTAAAGGTTAATAAGAAATGATGTTAGAAGCGTTCTTGAAATGAATTATGTAAGCTAAACTGCTGTGGCGGCAATGCCTGTCTCCTCAACAGTGTGAGTCCTGTTTCATGAGGACACTGCTCAGCATAGTGCTGTGTTAAAATGGTAAGTGTGAATACAATTCTCTGATGAACTTAAGATAAAATGCTATGCAATAAAACTTGAATGGGATAACTTTTAAAGTAAAAACAATGTAATACAAAAGAAATTGGTTCCAAAGTGTTTAAACTACTCCTGTAAGATTATTTTCACGGACAGGCTAGTTTTGGAATTAAGTGCCTAGGGAAAACAGTAGTTGTATTGTGAAAAGTTAGCAAAACTTTATTCTCAATTTCAAACTGGCTTGTAAATGAGCAGTAGCATATATATTTATTGTAACACTGCCTTCTGCTGGTCACACCTCATTTATGATATAAGTGAATGTGCTGCATGGTAATGAAATGTTGTTTTATCCTGAATTATTCTCAAATATAGTGTATTCATTGATTTGGAAAAAATGTTAAAGAAAACTAGCACATAATAGGCATATGTCACTGATTAGCACATTCTAGCTATGCTTTACTTTTATAGCTGAGAAAGCTGCATGTATTTGAACTTCAGCTGGAAGGAATTAATCCGTGTTTATCACAAAACAGTTTCTGAACCTTTCCCTCTTCCCCTTATTTTTATATCGATGTCTACTTTTTTAGATAGTTGTTATAGAGTTAGTAGTTCTCTTCATTTACATTTTATCAGCGGTAGTGCTTCTTATTGTAAATGCCATTCGCTGCATAAGGCAGCTGCAGAGAAATACGTATCTTTAGATGCAAGTGGCTAAATAGGATTGAAATCAGAGAACTACCTTGTTAACTGTCACATGTTTATGTACATGTGTACATATTTGTATATCATACACATTTTCTTGCTTTTACAATGTTAACTGTTTTTCTCAAATCCAATGTTCAAAATACATTACAATTAAGGAGAACTAAATATACGGTAGACAAAAGTGTATTTTTAAAAATTGTAACCGCAAAGGACATTCTACTGAAAGTATTGTATGGAGCAGTTTAGCTTTATTATATTAAGAGAAACATGAAAAAATGCATAAAATGCATCTACATCTTTGTGTATGAACATACACAAACAGTAGGAACAACAGCAAAGTTGCTGACTTTAGTAACGTTATCACAATCAATGAAATAGATATGTAATAGTGCTGTGTTTAGCTCTGATAAACTAGCTGAAATTAAAAGGCAAATCTTTGGTATGAATTATCTTTAGCTGCAGAAAATATAATAGTTAAACTGCACATTTACTCAGTGAAAACATTGGCGTGCATGTCTGACTGCCTACACTAAAATTAATGACTAGATTCTGCAGTGTGGGAAAATTTTTATTTTACTTTGGTTTTCCTCAAGAAGTGAAATCCTGGTTTAGTTGCCTGAGGCAACATTTTTAAGCACCTTTATTACAGCACAGTTAAAAACCCAGTTATCTGACAAAATGCATTCTGTTTTATTACAAAGGATTACTTCAAAAAGTACAATTCTGTATACGTTAGGCATAATTTAAACACTAGGAATCCCTATTGTATGCCATATCACAAATAATTATCCAGAAATGCATACTAGAATTGCATTTTAATGACCAAGGCATTCTGAGTAACATGCAGATTATGAGAAATTTCTGTATTGAAGTTTCTTCCCAGAATTGAGGGGCCTCATCCTGAAATCCAGAGAGAATTGTGCCCTGGGTTCAGTGGGATCTGTGTTTGAGCAAGGACTACGGATTCCAGCTCCTGAGTCCTCAGATGATCACAACAGTCCCTCCTGACCTTAAAATCTATAAATCTTGCAGCTTTAACAGTCAAAGACAGACCAGGTTCTCTGTGTGTTTTAAATTCCAAACCTATATGTTAGATACAACAGTAATTAAAAACTCACTTGCAGAACAGTAATATAATCAATCTTGTACATGCAGGTTTAATGGCATACTTACTAAAATTCCAAACATCAGCATTATAGTGGTATATTAAGACCATGCTGGGAAAGAATAAATACTGTTAAAAATAGTGGGTACAATTTTAAGCCAAAATCCTAACGTACAATTAGAAACAAAAATCCCAATACAATTTCTGTTCAGTGTTGGAAAGAACCAGGGTTTAATAGCCACAAAACTGACCAAAGTGTTCTCAGGATTGGAGCAGGTGTTGGTGGCTGTATGGACACTATTTAAACTGGATCTGTTTCAGTTTTATTGAGCTTCATGTGAATATATAAGGAGAAATAAATGTACTGAATGGGGGAGGAGAGGAAGAAAAAGAGTGGAGAAAATTGTTTACAAGTATGTATATGTGCAGTTTGTGTTGTACGTGTATTGAGACATACAATAGGATAGCTGTAAATATGAGTGAAGTGTGTATACTCACAGCTGCCTACAAACAAAATTAAAACCTGAATGTTAAAATGCATATATTTAGAGAAATAATATGGACTAGTGGGCATCATAATTCATTTTCATTTTCCAGAGTTAGAAATAACTGCATAATTCATGAATGGCAGAACAAAGTCAAGCCATGAGTGAGTTGCACATGGACATCCCTAATGAATGTGTATATTACCTTGTACCCCTTCAGGTTATACTGAAATTATGGCATTTGTTGTGTGTACCTTTTCTTAATAAGTTTCCCCCAAACACACTTCTTTAGTTGCCTGCATAATTTTTTAACACAATATATACATAGGAGATATTTATGCTGCCCCTCCCCAAATGAAAAAATCCATAAAATCTATCTGTACTATAAAGATATTAGTGTTTATATGATATTCTGTCCTTTGATTTTCATGTATGTATTCTTGTGTATGCATATGAACATGAATGAAGGTGGGGCTTAGCAAACATACTTAATGTTTAAACTATATTTATTCCTGTGTATGACCCCATATTTCAATGCATTTCATGTCTGCTGTATCCCTTATTCTAGTGTCTGATCTATAATATGCTCCCTAATTATTCCTTTCATGGATTTAGACGATAGATTAACAGTGATTGTTGTTATATCAAGAATAAACCATCTACTGAATTTGTAGGGTCCAAACACCTTTTAATTTAAGTATCACCTTTATAATAGATCCTTGTTTCAATGTCTCAGTACCAAAACATCTATATTAGTCAATGAGAATATTTTAATTTTTTACCTTGAGAGTATGTAAATAAGCCCACTATTTTAAGCACAGTAAAATAAGAATATACAAGTAAATCATCAGTGTATTTCTTTTTTCTTTTTCAGTATGTATGTAAATGCAGTTTTCATTCTGTTGTGTTTTAGCTCATTCTGTACATTGTATTTTAAAACAAAGTGACTGCAAAATATTAAATAAATGTTTTTTACGTGTCTACTTAAATCGGCTCAATTTTTTGTTAAATGAAAAATGTTTTCTACAATGCATAAAATACATGCCAGTCTTCACTTTGTAGTATTGTTTGCAGATTGTATTTCAAAACATGGATTATGTTGATTATATATGTATACAATCAGCATATTCCATTCATATGTTTGTAAGGACCAAGAGTTCTCCAGAGAGAATCACAAATCCATTTGATGCTCTTGAGTGCTGTATTCTTTTTTTCTGATTTTTTTTTCCTGAAATATGTGTAAAAACTCAAAAGCCTAAGGGATACTCATTGGCCCCACGATTAAGTGGTCTCACAGACATACACACGTTATTGTAGCTAAATTTGGTAGAATCTTGTTTCCAAAATTATTTTTAATTATTTCCTTTTTCAGATGGCAGAAAATATTTTTAGTTCATTTTTTACTAAAACGCATCTCTCTTAGAATGGTCCTTCATCATGCGCACACACATTTCTGGAGATCCGCATACTTTGGAAGAGAGTGTGTTTTCAAGTCATATTTTAAGCAAAATGGCTTTGTTCTGTCTCTCAATGACATCTTTTACTCCAATTTTCAGGAAGCTTTATCACTGATACCATGGTGGAGAGAATTAAGCTGAGCAGAAATAAATGTACATGTCCATGCACATCCATGCATTTTGTTATTCTGTCTCAAACACAGCGGTGAAAAAATCTTGAAATAGGATTTCATGTGGGGTGTAAGCACATATCATGTAAAAATGTTTGTGTCTATGTATATGCCAATATACATATTTGTATACATGTAATAGACATATTATGTATAATAGATGTAAATGTGAGATTCAGCATAGGCACTGTCCTTAATTTTGTAGAATTTTGTTGGAATTGTAGAATAATTCCACTGATTTCCATCAGGTTCCTCCTAATTTATCCTGATATAAGTGAGAAAATAATTAAGATCGCAATATGGACATGTCTTCCTATCTAGTATGGTATATATACATTTGTATATAAAGTTTTATATAAAGTGTTTTTTTTCCTTATTTGACGTGTAAAATACTTGCAATATAGGGGGGGAGGGGGGATCCACATGTTCCTTCTCTTTTTTTTAACCCGCTGGAACAGCAAGATTGCTGATTTTCAGGGTAGTTGTTATTGTAAATCCCATAGGCATTATTATTGTGATCATTCTTAGGCATCAGACAGGTATTTAACAGTTTGGTTCAGGTTGTCTAGGACAACAAAAATGCTGCTATGCTGCATCTCAAAGCTGCTGGGATGAAATGAGTTGTGACATACCAGGGAAGATTAAATTTGTAACAGATAGAACACCTTTGAAGTACTAGCTTATGATTTCACAGTGGCATTATGAGTCTTACTGTAGTATTTAAGCAGTTAGAAAGAATGCTGGTTATTAGTGGTTGAATTTTGTAAAATAGGATTTTATTGTCTTTTAAATAGCCATGACAGCAGTTTGTATTATCCAAGTACAACATTTTTATTGCCGTGTATTACTGTTGGTGAAGTGCTTTTTTCACACTCTTGTATACAGAACTGAGATACTTACCCAGGTGAATACTCTTATCTGTTGTACGCTACCCACATTGCTGAATTTAAAATAACACAAGTAACATTTTGGTTAATGGTAGGGGGCAAGGAGCAAGGGAGGACAGAAACAACTCATGTTTGTCTCAGGTAACACAGTAATATTGCATGTCTAAAACATGTTCTAGATCTGGACATTGTTATATATGGTAAATTACTTCTTAAAAAAGGCATAATTTCAGATGTCAAATCTGCCTTTATCATAAAGCTCTATGATATGACATTAGCAATGCATAAAGTTGCTATGCTTGTGTCTGAATCTGATCACATCAAAGTTTCCTGCAATATCATGTAACAGAAACAGAGACTTGTTCCTAAAAATAATGTCTAGAAATCTTGAGGCATTCATTGAACCATTTTTGGGGAAAACAGGAATGAGTTTCTTCTTTTCCCTATGATAGGCTTTTTTTTGGAGCTCTGGTCTCAAGATTACAATTTTTAATGGTTCTAATTTGTGAAATTTAGTTTACAATATTAATATTTGCATTGGCGGATCTTTTCATGATTCTCTCTAGACTGCAATGGGTTAATTTCCAATGAGGGTCGGGTTTTATATGTTTATATTTTCTTAGCCTTGGTCAGGAGAAGTGGCTTTGCTTGCCCTTGTGCTGTGCCAAAGTGATAGGGTTTCATTCGTTTGAAAACCTAGCACATCCCTAGAGGTTACCTTGGTGTAGATTTCTTTCTTTCTGTATTAAATCGCTCATTGTCGCAAAGTGACTAGTGCTGCCGGACTTTGAAAAGAACTTCTAAGAGGTTAAAAAAAAAGCTTCTGTATAGAAGGATTTTTCAGTTCTGCAGACAGAATACAGTTTGCAGCTGTTTGACTTGCGACAGTGATATGGATCTGATTGTATACAGTATACTGGGAGCCATGGATGCAGCTGGAATAGAGGTTATAAATTTTAAAAGCAATGCAGATTTTGGCCATTAATTGGCTGCTAATAAAAGCAAACTCAATGGGTTCTAACTGTGGGAGCCTGTAGCTCTGTATCTGATATCAGGAATTCATACACATTACACAGTTTTAGTGATTCAGACCACGACTAATTGAAATATGAGGCATACTGATCAAATTTAGCATTACCAGCATGCACTCTGGTTTGGGACTGTATGGCGACAAGGTAGCATTTATTACTTATTCTCCATAACACTGCTTGATTGAAATATCTAGCTATGTTGTCAGCAGAGGCCCAGCTGGGCTTTAGTACAGCTAATTAAGTCATTAAAAGGGAGGTCAAGCAATCTAACTCTTGCATACTAAACTACATAAAAGTCTTTATTATATTTCTTAATAAACCAAGATTTGAATTTTTAAAGTAGTTTGTTTTTATAATAAATTCATTTGCTTTGCCTAAGGCTTGATTAAAATATAGTTTTTCTAGATAAAGTGAACACTTCTAGAAAAGTTAGATAGCTATTTTTGGTGGTTAGAAACTAAGCTTAATGTAGAGTAAAAATAAATACGCATACCACTTTTCATTTACATATAGGCAGAAGCTGGGTGCATCCAGCCAGTGGCTGGATCCATGGTATCTGAAATTGCCACTATACATGGAGGGTAGTTGCTTAATGCTAGTAGTATTTTTTAAAAATGTTTTTTTTTTTTTTAAGAGTTCTTGTCCTTTAAAGCATTTCAGCTAAGAGGTGGGCTTGGAGGGAGTGGTTTCTTGGGGTGAGAGTACCACATCATACTTAGTTAATGATGCTTACTGAATGCGAATTGAGACAGAACAGGCACTTAGATAATTTCAAGAAGCAACAGTGATGTCTCAAGTGACACACTCTGCCCTTGAACATGTATGTATAACGTCCAGAGCCATCAGCAGGATGCTGTATGTGCATCTGAAGGCAGAATTTGAATTTAAAGCATGGGAACCTAAAATATAATAATATTCAGATACAAAATGATTTAGTACTATTACCCTTATGTTCCTAAGGGAGTCGTGTACCTATACTAAGCACTCCACAGCTCAGTAGTTTCATGAAAGTGCTGCAATCTATGTGTACACTTCTCTTTGTAAGGTCAGGCCAGTGCAGCACAAACAATAAGAATTATGTTCTTAGTTCCCTTCTCTGGACCCATAGGTTTGTACAAATTCTAGTGGAGAGTTTTGCTTTTGTATAATATTTGTCTAAGATGAAGTACAATAGAGTTTGGAATAATGTTGTGGATTAACTGTTGCAATATTGGCTGATTTGGAAAATTAATAAAAATCAATTGATGGAGGCTGCAAGTGAAACCGTTCCCAAGCAGAGGCTGCTCATGAGAGAAAAAATAATTGAATATAAATATGTAGCCAGTCTTTTTGCTACTAAAATAAGCAAGCCCTAAAATAATGCACCAGAATCACTGATACAGATTTGTGAGTCACTGGAGTTATTGATATAAGGAGGGAAATGGATGGTGTCCAAAGAGTTTTGTTGTATTTTTTTTATGACAACACATACTGAATAGGCTGTCTTCACACACAGTCTTTGGTTTGTCTGTCCTTATGCCCATTAAAATGTTTCCATTTGAATCTTTGCAGTTTTAATTAACTATTCTAAATTGTGTGGACCATGCTATGATTGATACTTTTTTTAAAAAAAAGAAAACATGTCAGAGGATGCATGATAAGTGGTTTGCAATATGTTTGAATGGAGGTGAAGAAGGTAGAGGAAAGATCAGAAACAACCCTCAGAGAAAACTACCGGTATATGTATTCTCTTACTTTACAAGAAAGCTTACAATATTTTTAGAGGAAAATTATTTTGGTAACATACAGTATTATGAGTGAAAAAAGATTGCTGTTTGCAGTTTAACTGCCTTTGCAGTTTAATACAAATCACCTACTTCTGTTTCCTGTCTTTGTAGAACATTAGTTAATCACTGTTATTATTATATTTTCAGAGCATTTGGGATTGAGAAGTATTGTCTTGGCAGTGAGCACCACCAAGATGCAACTGTTGATCTTACTACAATATGCACTGGCAGGAGTAAAAGAATGTGCTCACAGCAGTTTTCTAAACATCAGGAGGTGCAGCATTGGCAGCAGTGTAATGAAATAAGGCAATTTTGTGTGTCATTGCCTATGAATTCAAGCATTTTTGTACATTACCAACGGATGAAGGCCATCTCTTAAAAACAAAATACACAGTATATTCATTTATGTTATGTTTTCTGGTATACTTAATGAGGTGACACAAGAAAAGTTTCCTTTTTTTAATCCAGTTGCATCTTTGAAAAAAAAGTATTAAAACCATTCAGTAGCTAAATGGTAATGTAGGTTAGCTCTCAGTGCATTGGTTATTCTTAGGGCCTTCTTACACCTTATACTGTGAACTGCACAAATTTTGATCAGTGTCAATGCTAGGTCGAATTTGGGGAAGTCAAACTTTAGGCCAGCAGGAGCCTGGAGGACTGAAAGGTAAGAATCTCCTCTCCATTCTGGGCTTTTCCTCTGCCCTCCAGGGCTCCCCTGGTTCCTCCCCATCCCCAGGGATCCCCCTTCTGGCTCTTGGGGTACCCCTCTCTCCCTTCTTCCCTCCCACTCACTTTTGGCTGCCTGTGCTTACTGTCCCAGGAAAGCAGGCAGGGAAGGGTTAACCTGTCTGCCTAGCTGCTGCTCTTCTCTAAGCTGAGCCCACCCAGAGAGCAGCAGTGGTGGTGGAAACAGATGGGTAGGCAGGTTAACCCCTCAGACAGACAGTATGGGCAGACACAAGTAAATGGGAGAGAGAAGTGGGGAGGTGCAATAAGTGGAGATCTGGGGTGCTGGGGAGGGTGTGGGGGGGCAGTGGGCCCAACCTGGGCCAGCGGGGTTGGGAGGAAGGGGTTGTTTACACTAAGGTTTAGCCACTCTAGGCTAAACCTTAGTGTAACATGAGTTGGGTAACAGGGATCAAAGATAATCCTGCCCTGGAGTGGCGTCACTTTAAGCCTCATAACGAGTGCTTAAAACTATTTTTTGGTGTTAATGTGCGGACAATCCAGGTGTTAAGAGCTCCAGGAGCCACCCAAAAGTACCATGTAACAAGGTTCTTAGTCACAAAATGAAGTGGCTAATTCTGTGGACTGAAAACACAGTGTCATAAATAAAATAATTCTTAATGGAATTTGTACTCCGAGATCATAGTTTGCTCTCTCATGTGTGAGACTTAAAGTCACCACACTGGAAAACATTGTATAGTTTTTCCACTCACAACTATTTTTCATTCCTTTTTTATCCTCAAAGAAGAAAACAAAAGCTGGGTGCTCAGAAATGCAACTTTGCATTTATTGGAACCTGGATTTAGAACTAGCTCTATCTTAATCTTTTTTTGATTGGGAAATTATTGGGCCAGACCTCCAGATTGAAACAAACCAAAACAAACAAAAAACCTCAAAAAACTTTGACTGGTGCCACAGGAGAAAACTGCCAGGAGCAATGAAGACTGTAATAATGGTGATCACTCTTAGAAATTTTCACTGAACAAGCGTGGAGAAATTGGGGTCAGACCCTTTAGGAATAGTGGCATAGAAGCTGTTGCTGTGCAGCAAGATTTATGTACCTAGGAATTAATGATGCAAGAAAGGTTCAAAGATGTATTGGGGGTGGGAGTGGGTTGCTACCAAGGCTAGTAGTAATCTTCATTTAGACTAGAGCTAAACTGCTTCTCAATATTCAAGAGAATTTGGTAATCTTTGTTTGCAATGAGAAGACAAAATGTCAAACTACAGCAAGAAGAGCAGTATCTATTTCGGAGAGCTGAACTTCTGATGGTATGGTATGGAAAGACTGATGGATCCCAAGTGCCCATTGTACATGCATTCTTAGTAGCTCATTGTGACAGGCACATGTGTGCTAGGCAAAATGTGGGATGCCAGAATTTTCAGAAAGTCTGGGTTTTTCACATGCGAATAGAAGAAGGTTATTTCTTCAGTGCCCCCCACCCCGCCTTCCCCGTCCTTGGAAAGATGACAGTTTGACTATACAGTCAGTAGAAGGAAGATAGCCATTTGCTATGTAAGTTTGTCCCACAGTTCTTGAAACTGGAAGAGTGAAAGGCTTTAAAGCCTAATCTTAACAGTGACACAAATATGTATAATTTTGTGTGTGGAGATGAGAGGTGTAAAGTTATTCCAGGAGAACTGAAGTAGTTAGTCTACCAAATTTCTTTTAGGGTTAGTGAGGTAGCAGGAATTTAAACATGCTTCTGGTATTTTTGGTGAGCCTGATATCAGAAAATCTTCTAATTTGAGATAACAAAACAAAAAGAACCTGTTTTTACTGGAAGAAAGTTCAGAAATTTTCAGATAAGTATGTGATGTATATGTATTTCTTCTATAAATGCATTCCCCAAAACTGTTGAAGTTTGTCGGTTGGTAGCATGTGTGTGAATACTCATTGTATTAAGTGCAGGTTATTATTTATATGAAATTATCATTTTTTACTTTTGTTAGTTGCAGAGCATAAAACAGCACTGAAGGTGAACCTCTAGCCTTTGTGTCAGTGGCAAAACTCCTATAGACATCAATGGCTGTGTCCAGATGAGTGTGGGCCGTTCATTTCCCCAGGGATGAGCAGCAGCAGCACATCTTGTGCCTCTGCTCCTTGTCCCTGGGGAATGCCCATGCCATGCATGCTCTAGCATGCGGCAGGTTACTGCCGGTGGGGTAAGGGAGGCTGGGGCCAACAGCTGTGCTGACCCTAGCAGCCTTACCTGGGATTATGGGGGCCTTAGAGAGCTGCAGCAGTCCTGCAGCTGGGAGTCTAGCCAGCAGCTGCAGCATTGCTCAGGCTGGCCAGGCTCTGGTTTTGGGTGGCGCACATGGTGGCAGCACATGCTGCCCAAAACCAGAGGCTGGCCAGGATCTCCTGGGGTCAAAAAGCCCCCCTGCACTGCAAGGTAGCAATGCAGGGCATGCCTGCATGTACTGTGTGTGTTGCTGCAGATGGGTCTGTGGCACCCATGCTGCACGTTCACACTTGTCTGGATGTGTGGGTGGTAGGACGAAGATTTAGCAGTAAGTTTATATATACATTTCTATTTTAGAGGTCATTTTCAGTACTTCTGTATTTTTTTTTTTTACAGCCTCTGAAATCCCTGGCTGATACTTGGTAGAATTTTTTTCCATAGATTTTATATTATATTTATTACTTTTAAAAATTTGAAAAAAAAATGGAAGAAATAACTGTCTTGCATTAAAAATAAAATCATTTGGCATGCTGTCCAATTAGTAGTCAGTAGCTGCAGAAGAATCCCTTGTTGTTCTGGTAAAAATTACCTGTTGTTTTTCCATCATAAGGTTTTAAAATGTGTTTTACGTATGTGTGCTGGATTTTCTTAAGTGGTTTATGACTTCATTAATGTTCTTTGGCTTTTTTTCTCCTTGTCCATGTGTACATTCTGGTGTGTGCACACATGTGTCTCAAGTATTTAAGCTTGGAGAATTTTTAACCTAGCAATAACTGTACAGAAAACATGCATGTGGCTTCTCTTCATGTTCCATGCTGAGGTCATGAAAACAGTGCAGCGCCTCAGTTTTTTTCAGTTGTCTTGGCTTCCAATGAACCCCTGCAGTCTTTTCCAGACCAAATGCTTGGCTTACAGCTGTCATTCATATGCATCTTTTTAGTACCCTTTTTTCTTTTCTATATTTAGTTAGCTTTATTTTAGTTTTTATTATTATTTTCTTCCAGTCTCAGTTGTTTTCAATGAGAAATGGAATTCCTTGGCTTGTGTCACATGGCTTCTCTATAGCTGAACCTCCATTTTCCTCCCCACTCTTAACTGTTGGCATTGCTTTCTCCAGAAAAATGCTCTATGCACTCCCCAGCTTCCCCTCTCACACCATCATACAAACTAGTGCTGAAGCACCACTGTCAACGCTGGCACTTAGTGTTTCATTACCAACACCAGCTGCTGTGCTGAGCACAATCCAACTCTGAAGGCTTCTATCATCTAGTCATATCCCACGCACACTTCTCCTGTTTGTTGTGATTCCGCCTTGGTTCAGTGCATAGAATGACCCATCTGTCCAGCTTGAATTAGAGTGCCCCACTACTCTTCTGGTCCCCACTGCCCTTTTGGTCTAGGTCTGGGGCTGATTAAGAAATCGTCCTTAATTCCAGGTCAGTTGCCACTGCCAAATTAGGTCTCCTTGTATAATTCTTCTTTTGACTCTGAGGATGACTGCAGTTCCAGTTGCAGTATCCTTTTGTCTCAGCATGATTATGGAACCCCTGTGGCAAGAAATAGTAAACCTCTGTATCACCACCTCATGCTTGTAGGTCTTCAGCCTAGTGGCAGCAAGGATCTTTTTCTTTGTGGCCAGAGGTCCCCACTCCAGGAGTGATTTCAGAGATCATGATCACCTGTCTCAGCAGTTCACATTTACATGCTTCCCTCATTTCTCTAATTCCATGAATCTGCCCGGCTGAATCAGCCTTGTGTTATGCCAAGGAGGATTTAAAGATTTTACAGTTGCCCCTAAACATGCTGTCACAGAACAGGAGGAGGACACATCAGAGTCAACCTTGTTCATAAAAAGGCTATACTAGATTAATTTGCCTGGCAAAACTAGAGTTTTGACCTGATGCCATGCAAGAGCTCTTTCTCCCCATAAAACCTCAATTCTCAGAGTCTTTGATTACTTGGTTGAGCTGAAGCATGGTGACCAGTCAGTCAGCTCTGCCAAAATATACTTATCTGCTCCTTCATTTTGCCACCCACCTATGAAGAGTCAATCTTTCTTCCCCTACCCAGCAATATTGACTAACAGCTTGACTGAGGTGACCCCCTGGTACAAGATCCTGTCCCTCAGTGGGGTTGAAACCGGATCTTTGCTTTTCCTTGAACTAGTGGTCACCTGCCAACTTGCTCCATCTGCCTATGAGGCCAGTTACATCAAGATAGCAATGGTGGTGGCATCCCCCAAGTTCAGCGTTTTGTCATAATGGGCAGATTTGGTCCACATGTATACCCAGTATTGTCATGGAATTTCATCTTAGCCAGAAAATTCATCCGCTATTTTTCATTCCAAATCTCACTCTTTGGGAGGTGAAGCATTTTTATGCTGGACATGAAGAGTTTTGACCTTTTGCCTGTGGAGAACTGTGCCTTCCCAGAAGTCTCCTTGGCTGTTTGTTTCCATAGCTGGAAGACACCGGAATTTCTTCCCAAGGATGGTCTAATTGGATCCTGGGCTACATTAAGCTAGACAAACCATT